TCTTGAAGAACCCATACTCCGACCGTCGCACGCCGCCATTGATCGCCGATGGCCACCGATCATCGACGGCAAAAATTTCTTTGATTTTAAAAAGCTTTTTTCTCTGTTTTTTTTGAAAATCAAAAGAATTTTTTTGATATTATGCCTCCGGGGTGTGTAGATCTAAGAAGATCTCTCGACAGAAACACCCCCTGTTCATCGGCCAAAAGGATTTTGTTTGGGTCCAAACTCAGAGAAGTATCAACATGCATATCAGAACTACCTTTATTTCTTTACGAACTGATTACAAATGCTTTAAAATCACTCACTTTTGTTGTTCTTGTTTCCCTGGTATTGTGCGTAATACTTGTGTGTATTCTCTCGGTAATCTCGTAGGATTTTTGTCGGTAATCTCTCCGATCTTGTGTAGTGTATTGCGTGTATCCCCAAATTGTGTGATTACATTGAATATTTATAGTCTAGAATTTTAAGTATTTGATTCCTATTATGACTCTAACTCGGGGATGTTTGTTGGTGATGGATGTTGCATGTGCTTCTCTTGCGTCGGAGTATTCGGGGTTGACCAAAACAAACGGCCGGTTAGAGAGTCCTCATAGATAAGGGTTGTGGTGTTGGTGTGATGGAGTTAGGGTTCTAAAAAAGATAAAACCTTAAATAGGGTCTGGGTTACTTCACTAGGTCACGTGGGACTTGGGTTTGATCCACTGTTTGTTGGCTGCTGATTTTTATTTGTAAAGGGCCTGTACACAAACATAAAAAAAAATATGAGTATGTATATTATATAATATAGTTAGTAAATATTACATAATATAAGAACATTATGTAAAACGGATGAAATTTAGTGTATTCAGTTGCCCCTCTTTGCTCATTATCGTGTAACGACAGTAGAGCAAAGATTAAAAGACACAAATTTCGGCCATATCGAATATCCTCTGTCGTAGAGTTGAAATTCGATATTAAGACTGGTTTGTCAACTTAAATCACAAAATGACTCCCTCGTTGTGAGGTTGAGTCAAAACTGGAAAATTCTGAGCACGAATCCTTCGTCGTGAAGTTGAAATCGAACTCAAAGTTTTGACCAGTAGCTCCTGGATCATCTTCTGGCTCAAGATACTTCGTCGTGAAGGTGAAACTTGTCCGGAAGACTTCGGTACTGCTGTGCCATAGATGACTCCTTCGTCGTGAAGTTGGGTCAATCTGTTGGTGAAGTTGGAATTGTATATGGCCCCTTCGTCGTGAAGTTGAGCCTTGGAAGTTGAAATACAATGCAAGTGGCGTTGTTTCGAGGCCAACATCCTTCGCTGTGAAGTTGAAATTGACTATGAAAATGGAAAGTTTATTGACAAAAACTCATTCTTTGAGTTGGATATCCTTTGTCGTGAAGTTGAAATATACTTTAAAGATGGATGTTGTTTGTATGCACGATTCCCTTCGTCGTGAAGTTGAAACCGCGAGTGGCCCCTTCGTCGTGAAGTTGAGCCTGGTAATTAGATATCCTTTGTCGTGAAGTTGAAATCCAAGTAAGTTGTATTGCTCCGAGTCAAATATCCTCCATCGTGAAGTTGAAATTGGCTCTAGAACCGAGAAATTATTTGTTGACAGTCAGCCGCCTCTTCGCTGTGAAGTTGAGCTTGTGCTACCTCGAGTCTAATATCCTTCGCTGTGAAGTTGAAATTGAATCTGAATGAAATTGTGTTGACAATCAGCCGCCCCTTCATCGTGAAGTTGAGCTTGTGTTGTCTTGGGTCCAATATCATTCATTGTGAAGTTAAAATTGGCTCTGAAATTGTGAAGCCCCTTCGTCGTGAAGTTGAGCCTCGAATGGCACGATATCCTCTATCATGGAGTTAAAATAGTGGATGTGTGGGTACGATATCCTCCGTCGTGGTGTTGAAATCGCAGGTGGCCCATTCGTCGTGAAGTTGAGCATTGACTTGAATATCCTTCATCGTAAAGTTGAAATACAATTATTGTATGTTGCGGGTAGACACGATTCCCTTCGTCGTGAAGTTGAAACCGTGGATGGCCCTTTTATTGTGAAGTTTGGCTTCGAGTTAGATATCCTCCGTCGTGAAGTTGAAATCTACTCTCGAGCAAATTGTGTCGCTTCGAGTTCAATATCCTCCGCTGCGAAGTTGAAATTGACTCTAACTAAAACCTGAAAAAGTTATGCATATATGTGATGCTATGAATGCAATGCTCTTAGGTGTGCCTAAAATGCATATGCAACATATGTTATCTTGGGGCTCTGGAGAGAAATCTTGATCTCCGGTTGCCTGTTTGAAATATTGATTCTGGAATCTTGAAATTCCGATATCTGGTCTTGAATTCTTCAAATGTTGAAATCTGATGTGCATATTTTGTTCCTTTGATCCTTGATCCGGGAAATACTTCTCGACTATCTCAAGTATATGCATGAGCCTTGATCGGCTTCCGGGTACCTGTACTTTTCAATGAATCTTTGTACAGTAATATGCGATTATCTTTTGCATAAGTAGATAAATAATTAAGTTTAAGTTCAATTCAAGATGCTCGAAAGGAATTGATTTAGAGAAAAAGATTGTCTTTATTCATAAGGGAGAAAATATAACAAATAATACATGACAAACATTCTGGAAAATGAATACATGATGAGGTGTAAATGAATGTCTTAGATCTCGATAATGTGGGCACTTCTGAGCTGACAAGCCATTTGGTGACCTTGAATGCAGTATTTGCCAAAGGATCTTTAAAAATGGGACAACGTTTAGGAGAGTGCAGTATTTCTCTGATTTGTTGAGTTTGTAGAAGATTTATATGTTTGGATGCTTCCACTGTCTGGGTTTCTTGAACTAATATCCAAAATCGCCCTTTCAGGTTTTCAATTTGGACCCATTCTTGGTCGCAAGATGCCCTTTGTGGGTTTTCATCTCGAACCGACCTTATTTTTCTTTTTCTTTTTTCTTCTGTTCTTTTTCTATTTTTTCTCTTTTTTCAATTTAGGGCGCTCTTTCAGGTTTTCACCCTAAACGTCTTTTTCTCTTTTTTGTTTTTTGTTTTGTTTTGTTTTTTGTTTTGTTTTTTATTTTTTTTATTTTTATTTTTTTCGACTTAAGACACCCTTTCGGGTTTTTATCCTAAGCGAAGTACTTTTTGACTGCATCCGAGTTGATAGGATGTGGCAGTTCAGGTCCGTCCATTTCAGCCAGGATAAGAGCTCCTCCGGAGAAGGCCTTTTTCACGACATGAGGTCATTCCCAATTTGGCGTCCATTTTCCTCGAAAATCTTTATGGACTGGCAAGATTCTTTTTAGCACCAGATCTCCTTCGTAGAATATTCTCGGGCACACCTTTTTGTTATGTGCTCGGATCATTCGTTTCTGATAGATTTGACCATGATGAATGACTTTCAGTCTCTTTTCATCTATCAGATTAAGCTGATCATATTTGGTTTGTACCCACTCTACATCATCCAGTTTGACTTCTGTCAAGACCCGGAGTGACGGAATCTCTACTTCAATGGGTATCACTACTTCCATTCCATAATCTAGTGAAAATGGAGTTGCCCCAGTCGAGGTTCGCACCGAGGTTCGATAAGCGAACAAAGAAAAAGACAACTTCTCATGCCAGTCTTTGTAAGTTTCAGTCGTTTTCTCCACTATATTCTTAATGTTTTTGTTTGCTGCTTCTACTGCTCCGTTCATCTTTGGTCTGTAAGCAGTAGAATTGTGATGTTTTATGTTGAACTGTTCACAAGCAGCATTCATCATCTTGTTGTTTAAGTTTGTAGCATTATCAGTAATGATCCTTTCAGGTAGACCATACCGACATATAATCTTTTTTTTTTCAGAAACTTGCAAATAGTGGACTGAGTGACACTGGCATATGATGCAACCTCTACCCATTTCGTGAAGTAATCAATTGCCACGAGAATAAAACAGTGACCATTCGAAGCCTTTGAATGGATTTGCCCGATAACGTCCATGCCCCACACAGAGAAAGGCCAGAGCGACGTCATTATATGAAGTGGATGAGGTGGAACATTGATTTTATCTCCGTAAATCTGACATTTATGACATCTTCTAGCATAGTTTATGCAATCACTTTCGAGTGTGGACCAAAAGTATCCGCGTCTCATTATTTGTCTTGACATCATATGTCCATTTGCATGTGCTCCACAAACTTCATCATGTACTTCTTCCACTATCATTTTTTCCTCTTCAGCATCGACGCATCTTAGCAGGACTTGATTATGGCTCTTCTTGTACAAGACCTCTCTGTCAAGGACGTATCCAGCTGCCATTCTTCTAAGGGTTCTCTTATCGGTTTCAGTGGCTTCTTCTGGATAACTCCGATGCTTAATATACTGTAGAATGTCGTAGTATCAAGGCTTAGTGTCTTTCACATCTTCAATTTGGTAACAATGAGCCGGGTACTCATACGACTGCATGTTAATTGGCATCATTTCAGACTCCCCGCCAGCCTTAAGTGCGGCTGCCAAGGTAGCTAAAGCGTCGGCCATTTGATTTTCTTCTCTAGGCATATAGTGGAAGGTGACTTCATCGAATTCTTCAAGCAGATCCAGTATTAGCCTCCGGTATTCTATCAGCTTTGTATCATTGGTTTCCCATTCTCCGCGAAGCTGATAGATTACTAACGCCGAATCTCCGTATATCCGCAAGGTCTTTATGCTTTGCCCCAATGCAGCTTGGATTCCCATGATACATGCTTCATACTCTGCCATGTTATTGGTGCAATCGAAGTTCAGTCTACTGGTAGATGGGTAGCGATTCCCTTATGGAGAGATCAGGATTGCCCCGATGCTATGTCCTAATGCATTTGATGCACAATCGAAATGCATTCTCCAAGAACTATCCGTTGAAGTACTTGCTTCTTCTAAGGATATAACCATCAATTCTTCATCTGGGAAGTTAAAGTCCAAAGGCTCGTAATTCTCATCGGTTCTACTTGCCATGAACCCCGATATAGCACTTCCTTTGATTGCTTTCTGGCTTACGTACTCGATGTCAAATTCAGACAAGAGCATCTGCCATCTGGCTAACCCTCCAGATAGAGTAGGTACACCCATAATGTACTTCAGGGGATCTAACTTGGAAATTAGCCCTTCAGGGGATCTAACTTGGAAATTAGCCAAGTGGTATGATACAACATGTATTGTCGGAGTCTTTTTGTAGCCCAGACTAAAGCAAATCAAACCTTCTCGATAGGAGGATATCTGACCTCACAATCGGTGAACTTCTTGCTTAAATAATAGATGGCTCTTTCCTTCTTCCTGGATTTATCATGTTGACCTAGGACACACCCCATGGAGTTCTCGAATATGGAAAGATACAAGAACAAAGGTTTTCCTGGGATAGGGGACATCAGGACAGTAGAGTGAGACAAATACTCATTTACTTTCTCGAATGCAATCTGACATTTTTCATCCTACGTTCCAGGGTTATTTTTTCGGAGAAGACAGAAGATTGGATCACACTTGTCGGTTAACTGAGATATAAATCGTGCTATGTAATTCAATCTACCTCGAACCTCCTTCTGTGTTCGTGGGGGAGACATGTCGAATATTTTCCCGGATATTACCCCAAAGGTGCACTTACTAGGGTTTAATCTCAGTTGGAACTTTCTCAATCTCTGGAAGAACTTCATCAAATTCTCGACATGTTCATTCTCAGTTTGTGCCTTGACAATCATGTCATCGATATAAACTTGGATTTCTTTGTGCATCATGTCGTTGAACAGGGTCACCATAGCTCTCTGATATGTTACCCCGATATTCTTCAATCCGAAGGGCATTACTTTGTAGCAGAAAGTTCCCCACATCCTGACGAATGTGGTCTTCTCCATGTCTTCGATATGTATCTTGATCTAATTATATCCCGAAAATCCATCCATGAATAAAAAGAAAGCATTCCCGGCTGTATTGTCTACCAACGTGTCAATGTGAGGCAGAGGAAAATTATCTTTAGGGCTCGCCTTGTTAAGATCCCGGTAATCGACGCGCATGCAAACCTTCCCGTCTTTCTTCGGTACTGACACTATATTGGCCCCCCACTCTGGATACTTGGCCACTTGAAGGAAACCATCATCGAGTTGCTTCTTGACTTCTTCTTTAATTCTAAGGAGCATCTCAGGTCACATCCTTCTCAGTTTCTGTTGCACGGGTTTGCACTCTGGCTTAATTGGAAGTTTATAAACTACCATATCTGTGTCTAGTCCCGACATGTCTTGGTATGACCAGGCGAACACATCTCTATACTCCTGAAGTAAGACTATCAGGTTTTATCTTGCTTCAGCCGAGAGAGTTGTCTGATTTTAACCTCATTTATGTCATTTTCAGTGCCCAAATTCAGGATTTCGATCGCCTCCTCATGTGGTAGTATTTGCTTCTATTCTCTTTCTACCATTCTCAATAATTCGGTAGGCAAGTTACACTCCTCTTCAGGGTCGCATTCATCAAATTCCCCGAGACAAATGGCCGATTCAAAATCCAATTTTGGATCAAGATCATCAATTCCTACATTATCGTTATCTGGGGTCTTGAGGGAACAAAGAATATATGTGTGTGTGAGAGGAAATATCCCACACAGAACAGTCAAGAATCAAATTCGAAAGAAAAATGAAAATGAAGTGCTGAAATGTAGAAAATAAACAATGAATCCAAAAAGAAATAAAATTTGTTTGCCATGGACATAGGAAAAAATGCATCTTTTATTGAAATTAAACCAAATGTTTAGTCACCCTTACAAAAGATCACCTATTGCCCCGGGTATAGGCAAATAGGGATAGTTCAAATATTACTCTGAAAGGTTCTCGTAAACCACATGTAGTTTTTCCACCGACCAACTGCTAGGCACGACCAGGTGACAGGGGGCATATCCCAGATCTTTCTTCGTTGTCAACATTTTTTGTGGTCACGTCATTAATGTTCAGATCTTCCAGAGCTGCTTCTAAATCAGATGAAGTGGTCTTGAACACATAAACACCTGACTTGAATGTATAGTAAAGAGACGAGAATGTCATAGGCTTCCATTGAATTTCATTTCCAGTCAACCTGACTATCATTCTATCCCGGTTCTTCTGGACTTCCTTTTTCGTTTCATGATAACTGGGCTGAAAACTGAGCCCAAACTGGTCTAATTTTGAAATAGGAAGGACTGGACTAATCATTCCTTGCAAATATTTCCCAAAACCTCTCCCGATCTTGGCGCCTATTCCCAAAGTCTGCATGATCTCCATTCTGGTGTACTTGGAAAGTCGGGGCTTAGGGATTCTTCTTCCTTCTTCCACGAATGTGGCATTCACAAACTCTAGGGAGCGGAAGGAGCATTCCGCCGATTCCTCATCTACTTCGATATACGGGGCCTCCGTGGTCATATTTGCCACGATATCTTCCTCAACATTGATAATTACTAAGGCCCTGTCAATAACAAATTTAACTTTTTGGTGCAGCGTGGAGGGTACTGCACCTACTTTGATGAATCCATGGCCTTCCCAAAAGACAGCTATAGGACGACATGATATCCATCACAAGGAACTCAACATCATAGGTGGTTGGTCTGAGGGTCAACAATATCTCGATCTCACCGACTACTTCTCTTTTGGTCCCGTCAAATGCTCGGACCACGTTTTGACAGACTCTCACGTGAAAGGTATCTATTGACAACCTCTTTAATGTCACCAAAGGCATCACATTCAGGGCCGAGCCGTTACCGATCAACACACTCGGTAAGGCATGTCCCTTACAATAGGTAGTGATGTGTAATGCCTTAGTTCGGCCTCTTCCTCCGGATGGAATCTCATCATCTGAAAACGAGATGAGATTATCAGCTTGAATATTGTTCACCAGTCGATCCATATTGCTGACTGGTATGTCTTGTGGCACGAACGTTTGATTAAGGACTTTCAACAGTGCTTCTCGGTGTGCCTCCGAGTTTAAAAATAGTGCTAGTATTGAAGTATGCGTAGGTAAACTGTGGAGCTGTTCTACAATGTTGTACTCACTGTGCTTCAAGATTTTGAGGAACTCTTTAGCTTCTTCCTCCTTTATAGGTTCGTTGACAGCTAGTACATCCTCTTTGAAAGGCTCAAGTGGTCTCTGCCCCACTTTGTTATCACATCCTTTAGAAGTACTCACCTGACATTCGAACTTCCACGGCACTTGTCGATTGCCCTTGTATTGAAAAGGCTGAGGTCTTGTGATCACCACCTTGGCTGGTGTTGTTACTGTCATATTTGCCTTGGGGGTAATTATCAAATGACTAACCATACCAATTCTTCTGTCTGATGATTCTCCGGTGGCAAAAACATCTACTTCCAAAGAATCTTGAATTTCTTCGTAAAATTCCAGCTCTTTCCGGTCCATCATGAGCTGGACTATTGATCTAAATTCTGGGCACTCTTGTACCTTATGCCCCTATTCGTTGTGGTAACAACAATGGTTACCATCTTCAATCATCGTTGCACGTGATTGCGGTGCAAGAAGCCCCGCTTTTACCATTTAGCTCCATATCCAAGCCAAAGGAGCTGTAACTTCTGAAACACAAGTTTTGACTCTCTTGCCATTCTCGGTGGTGATTGCATTGATTTCAGTCTTTGGATGATTAGGCAAGGGATTCTGGGCGACGTTCGGTGCTCCAGAGTTAAAATGCATCCCATTCTTGTTCCGCATTCGTTGTACAAGCCTCTTGAATGCGAGACAGTTTTCAATTGAATGCCCATGCACACCTCCATGATATTCGCAGTGGGTGTTTTTGTCAAACCATTTCGGATATGAGGGCTTTATCGGATCCATTGGGTAGGGTGATACCACGTGAGTGTCGAAGAGTTATTGATATAACTCTTTATACGTCATGGGAATGTGATCGAACTGCTCCCTTTCCCTTTCTCTCCTTGGTTCTCTCCGGGTTTGATTAGAAGTACCAGATGGTACAACTGCAGTGGTTTTTGAACTCGAGATCGTAACACCTTTGTTAGCATTGTATGTGTTGACATTATTGATCTCGCGGTCCTTGTTCTTCATGGGAGGCTTTTTACCGGAGTCACCTCCGTCAATCTTTGCTTGCTTTATGGCCAATTCGATCATTTCACCGGCAATGACTTAATCTAAGAAACTTCTCGACGTGATTGCTACCAAGTGCCCGAAGTAAGGTGCCTTCAGGGTATGTATAAACAACTTTCTAGTTTCTTTTTCATCCAAGGGTGGATGAACTTGCACAGATAATGTAACACCCCCAACCAGTACCCGACCCGGATACGAGTCCGAGGTGTCACATTGACATTTCAAACTTTGACTCATGACAAAAACTCGAGAAAAATTAAAACTTTCATTAAAGTCACAACGGTTTATTTAACTCAATCAATTAGTACATGCCAACTATATTCAATATACAGAATCTATATAATTCAAGACATCTTTTCTGATCTGATCTTCGATAAGAAGTAACTGACCTGTCTTGCTCTTCTTCACTTTTCTTCTAGCTTTCCGGAACCTACATTTGAAACACTCACACGCTAAGTCGATGACTTAGTGAGGAATAAAAACATATAACCAATACTAATGCATTCATAATCTATACTTATTATATCATACAAAATCATACATTCTGTCATGCAACCACTATCCACTTGTACACATACACCATTCACATATTCTTATCATATATCATTATAAGTAATCCAATTTAACAATTGATCTGGTACCTATTATATTAGTTTTGTCATATAACACGCATATCATTTCTCAAATAAGGACACATCACATCATATAATTCTTATAACAGGTTTCATAGCACAAAACATGTAAATCATATATAAGGTATTTATTATTATCTCTTTATTAGTCTTATTTTCGTTCTTTATCTTTTTGTCATATGTTATTGCATCTATTCCTCTTAACCAAGCTATATACACATCATCATATCACATATATCACTTCACACCATAAAGATTACAAACCAATCACATACTATCATGCAAGGTTCTTTTATATTATTTCCTTTATTAGCCCATGTACACATGTGAGAACCATAGATATGTGAGTCTATAGAGGTTGTGCACTAATGCTGTCAC